ACATTACCCGACGACGATGCAACTCTCATCGTGTATTACAGAGAAAATAACAGTTTGCCTTCTTGACCAAATCGTGTCATTCCATCTCGTAACACTGCAATTCAGCGGGTCTGGAGTCAACACACGCAACTTGGCCTTGCGGTATAGGTGGATTGGTATCAGAATAGGTTTCCATCTACGAGAACAACGCGACCGGAGTTTGGTCGAATAGTCGGTAAAAGAGGGGGCATTGTGTCAAGGTGCTAAAACACCCATCCCTGATTTGCGGTATTGTGTGAGATCGAGCTAACACCCCTTCACCACTGCCGCCGTCGCCACCACCACCGCTTTCACAAATGGAGGAATAGACCCAGTGGGGAAGACGCTGAACTGCAGTGTGGGTGTGTGGAAGCAGCAATCTGTTGGGAGTCAGAGATAAACAACACGGCCGAGATAATGTCAGCACAGCGCAGAACGTAGTCTCCGAGTTCCTTTTGCTGATCCTTTGATCGGACACCCATCTGGCAAAGTCTCGTTTTTGCTGCCGTCACCTGCTTTTGTCCACCATCGATTCCACTGGTTGCCAACTAAGGGCAAGCTCTGTCTCCCTAATTAAATATCGCTCTTCCATTTGCTAGTCAATAAACACAACTTCTTTCAACGTGATTAAAAACAGCCTGTTCAATTTTTTAGGTGTTCACACCTTTTGTGTTTTTCTCTCGGACATGGGCCCTGTTGTCGTTGCTGTTAACGTACCGAGTCACCTGTATTACCTGATTTCTATTTTTGCTACGAACCAACTTACTTTCTGTGTTTATTTCAATCACTTACAATTTTAATAAAACATAGTTAACTGCAGCAGGTGTAGAGCCACCAAGAAAAGGCGTTATTTATGGCGGTGTTAAATTGTGACAACGACTATTTTTGTCTGTTACCGCACTGCTGACATAACATCCAAGTTATTTATTCTCCAAGTGGAGAATTTATTGACAAAAATTATTTTTTGTTTGACATTAAATCTGTTTTATTGAAATGCAACCCGCGAAATTATTTACCTTAAGAGATAAAGACAAATATTATCATCGGTTCATTATCGTATCTTCATTGTACGCTAAAGCGTCTGGAGCATTGTGTCTGTGGTGAACAGCAAGCCAGCACAGTTTGCAGACGTGAGCGCACGCAGCTTGCAAGCGTCGGCGAACACGATTCAATCGATTTTCGTGAATGCAATTCTGCACGTTCAGCGATCGATGCTTATCGAAGCTAATATAAACGCGATTGTTTTCCTGTAGAAGCACGCACCGCTATTGAACCGATAAGTTAGTTGAGCTACGCACCATTGGAATTTTTTTCCTCCCATTTCGGCCGGACCTTGTCAGTGTATATCGCCGGCCCTGGTTTGGCTTCTAAAATCGCACTGAGGCCCACTACATGTCTATGGAATTAGTGCTTAGGCACCACCAACGCGCACTCAATTATCAAAAGCATAAAAGGCCACGTAACCGAGAAGTTCGCCCTTGTTAATCGTAGACACACATGCACGAATGTGTACATGTTATCGCAGAGTATATCAAGCGTTTAAAGGCCGCAAAATTGCAACGAACAACGGGGAAAACAAGAATTGCTGGGCCAATCGACCCGTTATATTGCACATTTGAAACACAGAAGTAGAGGAGATCAAAAGGGAAAGAGGCAGAAAATGTGATTTTTAAACTCAGAACGCTTATTATGCGGCTTTTTGGGGAGCCTGCATGAGAAAATTGAAACCTTGTGACAATGAAGGAGGCACGTGTTCAGTGCTTGGCGCCAGTTCGGCCACCATCTACTCTGCCATTGACTCGCGCGAGTGCTTGGTTATCACTGGACCGAAAAACGTTTTGTAGGGGCTAGCTGGATCCTCACCCAAGAAGTAATCACACCAGGCTGATAGGTATTCGTCGCTGCTGATTTTCGAGTCCTTGTCTGTATCTAAAACCTGATTTGGATATGGAAAAAAAGAATTATCTTTGATAGACCACTTGTCGCACTTATCCCCTGTGTTTTGATTTCATTAACAATCGTTGGTTTTGCTTCCATCTTCCAGCCATTAGAATTTTGATTTTTCATTGTGGCACATGCAACAGAAGTATAGATTTCTCCACAAATTAAATCAATAATTGACTACCAAGTGGCGCCTAATGGGCAATGATAAACTGCTCGGCTGGCTACTGATTGCCAACTTGCTCGCCAGTGAAGCATTTCAAATAGCAGCATTATAAGATAATTTATAACTCGAAAAAAATCCTACTAGATACTTGCATTAAGAAGCAAGCAACATGCCATAAGCTCCGACCCTCAACTGGCTGCTTTCACAAGCGATCATCTTGAAACTTGCCTTGAACATGCCCTCAGCTTCCGCACGTCCAACTCGCCAGGCCTCCTGCAAATTGCGGTACTCCGTTATCGAGATAAAGCCTGTGCCCTCCACCTCGACGGCTTTAAAGAACGTCCAGCCGAATTGGTCGATTGCATGTCTGAATTCTCCGTTGATCATCGATCGAAGGTTGTGAATAAAGTCCTTCTCGGTGATTTCTGTGAAGTGGGCCCCTGTTGAAGAGAAATGGGTTTGAGAAGAATGCCGGAGAACTTGGTCTAACACAGGGGTCAACTTTGGGTTGCTGGATCTCTCTTATCGGCGTAAGCATGTACAACTACATACACACATATGTACATGTGTGCGTAAGTGTGTGCGTGTGTGTGTATGTGGTTCCATGCTTGCTACTGTCGTCTCCTAATCAGATAACTAGGTTTGGGGTGATTGTGAGCATGCAGATAGGTGTAATGTGGGGTGTTTTGGTGCAACTGTGCAAAAAAGGCTTAAAAAGAATCCAAGTACTGCAGCTACAGTAGTTAAGTGTTCAAGCGTTCTTTGTTTCCGCATTAAATGGCGCATGGAAAGGTTAAGTTCAGAGATTATCGTTATCATGGCTCTCTTAAATGCAGCCTATTTCTTAAACCGACTAGATCTGCTGAACATTACGTATGCAAGGTATCATACACTGGAGCTAAAGTAGACTTACTAATCTCTTTTCCAGATATTAGAACTTTACCAATCAACTTTGAAGGCGAGACCTAATTAACACTTGGTGAAACTGGGCAGAACTGGTGCTCCAATTTACACTTGAAATACACAATGCATCACTCCATTTCAAAGCGGGGCCTGCGGTCAGCAAAATACAAACAGCAGAAAACCACCACTCTTCTGTACATCTCTGGTGGCAGTTAAAGTCACAGTTCCTCGGGTCTAACTGACCGTAAAAGTGCGTTGCGTGGGAATCGGTGGGCGAAAATCGCAACCACCTTTCAAGATCGCCTCAAAGCCCGGAAGGGGGAAGCTATTGCTCACAAGTCGAATAGACTTCCCTTAGCGATAACCAGTAGTTTGTTAGTAATGAATAATGACAGGTTAATACGGCATCATACTGTAACACACATGCTGAGGAATACGAACATCGGAAACAGGCTTTTCTCCTAAGCAACTTCCGGGCTCGAGTTCAGGACACCCTTAAGCCAACAAACTGCTGTAGTCAGATTGTAAATATGGTGGCTGATACATCTCTTTAGAGGTGGTGTATCTGTATTATATTTTAATACAAATATGCAAATATATATGTTTGACCTTCCTTAGTGCATGATCGTCTGACTTAGAGGCAACCCACAACAACCATTCCCGTCTTATTTCTATTATTACGAATTGGTTGACTCGAATGATCAGTGCCTGACCTGATTCGAGAGAAGTATTTCCAGGAGCAGCTCATTGGACTGATTTCTCACAAACACGATTTAAAAAACGGGGGCAGGAGTTGCCTCCGTTAACTGTCACTCCCATCCCAATGTCCGGACTGCTTCATCTTTCATTAGCTATGCTTGACTGCGAAGCTAACTCATTTGGCCAAGCGGTATGTTTAAAAGATAAGCTAATTGCTAATTCAACACACTTTAGCATCGTCTTGAAAGTGCTAAGTAGTGGACGTGTCGATCTGACTTGTGGTTAGAAGAATATTACTGCCAACAAGTTTTACAAATTCCCAGAAGAACCTAACTATCACACCTATTTATTCAACAAAACTGAATTAAGTGTTTCCGGACGCACCTAGCTCATTGTCCTGCCTCCATTTTAACACATAATTAAGCTGGCCAAAACATTTTACCTGATTTGTGTAAACGGAGGAGCATGTAAAAAAAAACAAACCATCACCCTCCGTTGATATATCGCGCACATGTTTCTACATTCAAACGTGAACTACGGCTACTAATATAACACTCGCTGTCAAACAGTCCCGATTTTCAAGCAGGCATTCCTGCACACACCGAAAGGTTTTATTTTTGCCATCAAAACTATTTGCGATCAGAATACTCCATCGCATTTTAGTGAATTTTTGGGCAATTTTTGATGCGATTAAAGTGTGCATAATTCCAATTCCACACATCATTATCGCCGCTCGCAGCAATTAACTATACTTACAATTGGGTGTTTCTCGAAGGGCTAATTTCCTTTAGTAAGTTGTCAAGTGCAAAAAACTTCAGCCGAAAATTTCGCTGCCATGGTAACTTATTCACACTCAATGAAGGTAGTCCTGGTCGCACTCCAAACAGCCCCGACCAATGGACGCATTCCTGGGAGACGCCTTGCTGACCTCCCACCGTTAACAGATTATGTAAATTGACTGTCGATTGGTCACTTTCAGGTTACAATTTGCTAGACATAAATTTAATGCCCAGGAAAATCTCTTGTGTTGACCACTTTGTGAAATTTCGCACATGAGAATATCGAAACACCACTGTAATATGTCTAATTAATGAAAATTTCCCAATTCTGAATAAGGTTGGCTTAAAACTTGAGCGAAACCGCTTTTTTACGAACTTTGGTTAGTTCTGTTTAAGGAAGAATACAGGCGGGTAACAAATTTTCTGCAGAAAATACGAATTGTTTTAAGTCACGATAAGAACAGCTAATGGTAAATAAATTGGATTCATACGTAAGTGTTCGCAAACCAGGCTTTTCTTTGCGTGTAGGTTTTAAACCGCAGAAGTGTTTGTTTGAGAAGTAGAAAAGTGTTCCGCATGGGGGATATGACCGCCTACGTTTCAATGTACGGATATTTGGAACTCCTTTCCAAGGCTGTATTTAAACGAGGATCGATTAATGAGAAACCCATGAGTGATTCTGGTGATAAATTTTGTGCAGTTACATCACCACAACTATGATTTTGCGATAACTCATTGATGATTCATCCTCTTGAATAGAACTGGATTCAATGAATGTGTGATACAAGGCTCAAGGACTGCATTAGTGTCCTGTTTAGGGTTTTATCCAGGGGCCTTCACGACAGTCAGAAGGACAGATTGATTTTTGATTCGAAAGGCGACACATTTCCCGGGCTGGCCCGACCAGTTAATTGTGCCCTGGTTGCTGAACCGTGTGCGGTTAAACTTCGACTTTAGTCATCGCAATAAGTGTCTGAGCACATAATAAAACAATGGATCAATGCATTAATCCACTTAGTGAAGATATCTTAATTAAAGGAATCAGATGTCACTAAAATCGAACCCAAAGATTTTTCGCATGCTCAATTTGATGAGGAATCCTGTATCGAACTCAAATGTTCCGCCGAAATAAATTTTACCTACCAGTGGTTTAGCGGATTGTAAAATACACACAAACACAGATTTTAAAAACAGAATGCGCACACAGTCGCTGCACATTTCGTAAGTTTTGGGGTATTTTGTCTAATTAAGTAAGTAACCTCAGAATCAATGGGAAATTCGATATTTATAAAAAAAATCTTGGTAAAAATAATTTTGAAAATTTCCGGGTGGTTTTTTTCATGTTCCCCTGCCTCCACAGACGTTTTGCTATCAATTCTGATTCACTAAATTAAATATACCCGACAAAAACGCCATGCAAGAGATCCAGGAGAAGATTTTCGTGTAGAAATAAATGGTTCTTAAAAATGTCCCAAAATCAATCCAATATTTGTGGACACTTTAATGGACGCCCGAATTTCGTTCTACAACATGCTAATGAAGTTGGATATGAATTAGTAACAATACCCAGGTCATACAATTAAACTCTAAAGGCATGCATCCAACAACTGAATAATTTCCAAACAAACCCGTCTCTCCTCTTTCAAAGGCTTGATTAAAGAAGAAAGGCAGGTTAGTAAAAAAAGACAGTAATGAATCGCCATTTCTTCTACTTTTGCGGCGACTCAATGTCTATTTCAATATTTTTAAAATGAGTAGAAAGTTGGTGTGCTAAAGTGAAGTACCTAAATCGAGACTGTCTATGTAAATAACGAAAATCGACCAAAACAGTACTAAAACAAACACAGAATGCAAGTAAAAGTGATATTCAACTTTCTTCAACGTTGTTCCTTTTGATAATTTGTTGGTTAATATGCTTTAGAGACTTGCGTACTTGTTGAAGATTGAGATGAAATTTGTGGTTTGAATAGTGCGAAGGCCCCTTAGTTTGATACAAACAACTACTTGTCCAACGGCGGTAAAATAAGGTTTAACTCAAAGGCTTTTCTGGATCTCTACCTTAAACTGCATTGCTCCACTCGTGGCTAATTTGTTGGTCAAGAGCCCTTGAGGGCCTGCTGAACACCAAAAGCAAAGTATTCAATTTGCCATACACCCTTTTGAATGCGGCTGTCTTGAATACTCCTCCATTTCATTCTGTTTGCTTAGCAAAGCAGCTGATGCCTTTCTCACATAGATGCTTTAAGGTCAAATATTGTCTTTTTTAGTAAGTAAATTGCTACCTACACAAGACAGTTCAGAATCGCTTTAATTAATGATCTCAGCCTGAGGCGAAACTTGAAGCAACCAATTCAGGCCTAATTGTTAATCAGTGACGTCCAAAAAGAATTAGCACTGATCTCACATTGGTTCCTTCACTTCTTATACCTAAGCCTTTGCAGAAGTTCATTTGATTCCTCAACTATTGGCAATTTAACGAAGTCGTTGATTTCCAAAGTGATTTTCTGATCTAATTGGTTCTAATAAGTTCACATTTCTCGAGTCAGATGCTATTTTACACTGGGAGTTTTAAAATAACAATCGGTCATGGTTCCGCACATGCACGTAACTTACCCTCCTTATCAACGGAGAAGTAATGCACCCAGATGTCGAGCATGGCACGCATCACAGCGTCCGCCTTTGGCTTCAGGAGGTGATTGCGTTGAGCCAGTGCTCGTCCAATTTGGATAAAGTCGTGGCAGCGCAGTTTGCCCGACTGGTGCAGATCCAGTCGGCGAAACATGGTGCGCATTTTGCCCTCCCACACGGGCCCGCATTCGACCTCGGGGTAGTCTTCGGGTCGCTTGTAGTTGATCAAAGCACCGAACAGCTTCGCCGTCTTGCCTTTGATGCCCTCGTCGAAAAAGAACTCGGCCAGGACACCCTCAAACTGGTCTTTGCTGACGCCCTTTTTGCTTCCACCGTCTAAGATACGGAAAAGCAATTCAGCCTCTTTCTGGTTGCCTCCGAAACCCAATATCAGCTGACCCATTTCATTCTGCTGCAGGTAGCCGTCTTTGTCCATGTCGCCCATCTCGAAGAGAGGCGTGACGATGTTTTCAACAAATCCCGTTTTAAAGGTTCCGTTGATGCACTTTGCCATAGCCTTGACAAACGCGTTCTCATTCATGGAAACCCTCGTGTTCTGGTTCGCTGATCTTTCTGTGCAGATGACTTCATACCACAGACGAATTATGGCCTGGACAAGCTGGTCGCCGAAATAGTTGTCACTTTTCGGGAACTCGGAGAGAATGTTGGAGGCAATGTCTAGAAATTCGTCGATGCTAACGGCCCCACGACTGCGGGAGTCGAAGCGATGGAAGATGGTTCTCATCTTTCGAATCCACGTCGGTGAGTTTCCATCCACATCGGGGTACTCAGTGGCTTTTTTCATTTGCATTGCGACAGGAGAAGAAAGGACAAGATGACTAGAGTTAAAGTGGAAACGAACTGTCTTGCACGCTCGTACATGTACCACGGGAGAATCACCAACAGACACGCCAGTTCGATAAGACCAATCAACGAAGTGCATGGAAACGGACCACTAGGAATTCTTGTGTGCATGTATGGGCTAGTTTGGAGTGCAACATTGATCTTCAGGTGTTTGGTGGTGCAGCTGGTAAAAGTAAATATTTTTAGTCAAAGTGTCTTGCCATGACTACCAGCGGAGGGTTTTTTTCCTTAAACAAGATAAATTTTGAAACCCCTCCCAAACGTAATGAAACTGTAAAAATTGACTACCTAGCACTGATATTTACTCAACGATATAATTTGCAATTTACAAGCGCCATGACACCTATGAGCAAACGTATTGTGAATCAAGTTCGATCTGCGAAATTTCATCCGGATTTTGCAAATGTTTTGGCTTTTCTGTGATCTTACCACAAACTTATAGTTGAGCCTCGTCTGCATTTCCTTTATTTTAAATTTTCTAAAGCATTATTAAATGCACTCCTGTCAGAAGGTGGAATTCAGAATACTAAATACTAAATATTTTGCTCGAACTCACAAGGAAATATTCCATCAAATCACCATGGTATTTCTCCTGTCTTTCCAATTCAACCTTGTCGAAGGTCACTTGCGACCCCCAATATAGAAAAATCGAGGATGATGAAAGTACATTAAACGAAACCTACATATCTAGTAAGTATTCTGCAGTTATGGGAGGCAGACACAATTGTTAAGGAACACTAATAGTTCATGAAATTATGAATAAATAAAGCAAAATTTTATATCGCAATCTTATAATTGGCATTCAATACGTGGACCACTATTTGCGGCACAGGTAAGACATAGTTCTATAATAATCGATTGCAAGTTTTTTAAAAAAAAACAACTGTGAATGAGCCGAAGGATTCGCGGGACCACATAGTGAACACCCTAAATTGAAGGTGAAGGATCAAATGATATCAACGCAAAAGTACATGCAACAATGAGATAAAATCTGAACCCATTTAAATGTCAAATATTTCCCTCGGTAAATTTGTGGATGATCGGTTTAATTGCTAAAATTCCGCATGTTTGGCATGGTTCCAAATGTTTTAACACTTGTGAATGTCATCATATTAGCCCGGTGGAATAAGAGAGAGAATATGGGTGAAATTTTGGAAAACACGACCGCAACCTTTTTTTGGAAAATTAACCCATATTAACATGATTTGTCAGAATTTTGACAGATAATAATTCTGGAAAATTTGACTCCGATTTGTACTCTTAGCAGAAAATATGAGCGGTACTGCAGAAATATTGATTGAAATACTCAAAATTACGCTCAAAAATTATCAATTAGAGACAAGCTGGTGAATTGTGCTTTGCAAGCTTGTCGAAACTTGCATGATTTTGCTGATCAGTTTTCTAATAGGTGATTTTGCACCTTATAACTACTCGAAGCAGTCATCGGGAAGCATGGAAGACTAGGGGCCCAAAGTCAAAATCGATGCGTCCGACCGGTGATACCAACAACTCCGGCTCCGCTGACAACGATTATGCCCAGCGCCCAACAATCCACAGCACCAAATGGCTCTCGAATGACACAATCCGAAGTTGGTAAGGACTTTTGGTGAGGAGAGTTGTGTCGCCATGATTTATGAGCCTTAGCATGCAAGAAGACTCGTCTCTCTTAATTTCCATAAACCCTTCCTTTTATAACGTGACACTGGTTTCAATGGTGACTTCAAAACCGAGAATATTTTTGGTCGTGTTAACGGTTTGGAGTGAAATTCAAGGCGAAAAGATGCCACTTTCAAACAAGCGTTGCCTTGGTTCACCTTTGCCAACTCTAAAAAAATTAGAAAATGCTCCGCCAAATCAGATGGAATCAACCTCTAGAGGTCACGTCAAGGCCAGGTTAGGCCCTCAGCTAGGCTGCTGTTACTTGAATGTCCACAAGTCTTGGGAGGACAAATTCACACGCTGATAATCTCGAGCAATAACAGAAGGCCATTTCAGGAGGATTAAAATGACCTGTCACGATGGTTTCTGTCAGTCGGTTGTAACTCATTAAAAATCTTCGAGGTCAAAAATTTTGCCACTTGGTTTCCTGCAGTAACGAAGCAACTACGAAACATCTCCAGAAGTTATGTTTGGTAAAAACATAGGTGTAAAAAAAGAGAAAAATTGGCTGATAATGTACAGTTGGTTTGCACACTCCATCGACATATATACGCATGTGGATTCCTATTTTGGGACAAATAAAAATCGATAAATGAGTCACAATCAAGATAAAATTGGCAGAATCTAAATTTCCGTATAAATTTTACCTTTTAATCAGTCCCATCATGGCCATTACATCGCTATTTTAGAATTTCGAGAGAAAATCAGGTTGATATCATTCTTTTTCTTCTTTAGTAATTAACTTCACACCAAGCTTGATGGTTGTCTTTTGGGTTACATGTTGTTCCCTGAACGTACGGATTTAAGTTGTAACTTTTTTTGCTTTTGTTGCACCGCTGGAACTGCTCCCCCACACAAAATCATTCCGAAGAAGAGTTGGTTTTGTAAATTCGAAGAAATCCACTACCTTTTGCTTCCAGGTACATGGAGATGCTGTGCCAACAAATCGCTTGCAATAGCTTAAAATTAAAAAGCGCAAACTTAGCAGTCAGTGCTAGTGTGCAAAAGTGGACTTAGGCAATTGATGCGTCAATCTGTTACTGAAAAGAAGCATACTGAAGTAGAATTTGTGCGACGTCAAATTGTCATGGTAATCAGCCTATCCACACACCTACTTTCCAGGGAGTCTCCGAGGTGCGTCTTAAAACAGCCTTTCTAAGAGGTTGATCTGGTTTTGATCAGCGACAGAAACCCCATATGTACTTAGCCCAATGAATGGTATTATTTACCAAAATCAACAAAGCATTGTTAGGGCAACGACCGATTGATTTTAGACCACGGTATAAATTCTGCAGATGGTCGATCAAAATTTTACCGCCAGAATTCCGTGACTATGACACCTTTATTATCCATTTGAATTGTCCATTCAATTAAGGTCGGTTTGCGTTCCGATTAAAATTCGGAAGGTGGTAAGGGATGCCATGTCGTTTTAAGTTGTGGGAGCATGAAGACTGTAAAAAAACCTCAGAAAGGGTAATCGGTCTTGTTAGTGACCAATGAACAAAGTGCCGAGGAAATAATTTCACCGGCTTACCATGGCGGGTGAACAAACTGTTGTGTGTTCCTGATTGTGTCAAACTTGTACTAGTAAATGCATTGTGGTGTATCAGAATCCACCATATATGGCTAGAAGGAAATAGACAGAAGTGGCAAACGTATTCCTATTCAACAGCCAGACAAGTATTCTAGGTGCTTGGATTACCAACTAGCGCAAATAATTTAGGAGCAACTCCAAACATTGTTCGCATTTGGCAGGACTCTAATCGAAGAAAGTTACTACCTATATCTTAGAACACGAAAGGTTATCAAGGGTTGGCAACTGAGACAGGAGACGAAGTCCCATTGTACGTGGAAAAAGATATTATGGGTGGCAGGATTGCGATGGCACTAACAGTTTCTGCTTACCACCATCCACCGAAAAGGATTGGGTTGTAGCGGCTGGGGAATTTAGCACTACCTCACAACCCTCTAGTTAACGGCCCGTAACCACCCGAGGAGAGGGGAAAAGGAGGCGACAGAGAACACGACCGTTTATTAGAGTCGAACCAGCCAAGCGACTTTGTGGGCGTATGAGTACGCGTGCGTAACAGGCGAAAGCTGACAGAGGCCAATAACAAAAGGAGTGAGTCATTGGTCCGCTTGGGCCCTCATGCACGTACACTCACGCGGGGTGGCTGTCAGTCCACTACAAAAATCCCTCGCCGAGAGTGTTAACTGTGAAACAGTAAAAACTCGACAATAAGTGAACTGAGTCAGCAAAGCCGACAACGGGTCTCAGGGGTAGGTCGGATCTCTTCCCGGGTTGACTTAGCTGGTTTGACACCAATAAACGGTCTTGTTCTCGGTCGCCTCCTCTCCTCCCCATTGTCGGGTAGTTTCGAGCTGTTAACTAGAGGGTTGTAAGGTAGGGCTAAGTCCCCTAACCACTACAGGGTTTTACCGGCGAAGGCAATTCCACTTTGCACTCGAAGTATTTTCGTGGTACAGGGAAAAAGGTCATCACAGGGTAAAAATCTTGAACTTTTGCTAACTTTTTTTGCCATTCATATAGCTCTGATCATCCAACTCAAGTTGATTTCAAATTACAATTTGGCCTAATACTACTTAAAAAGCAACAAAAGGGTCGAGAAGTACAACTAACATTCTACTTTTACCCAATCCACTTGCTTTAGTAGAGTGATTCTATAAGTTGCCCTAAAAATTGTGCCGTGAGGTACTGAATAGCGAAAAAAAATGGATGTTTTGAATAAAATCCCCGTGTTCTTCTCTTTATTAGACCAAATACCCAAAGTACACCTTGTCATCGCTCCGGCACGTTTTTTTTCAGTTTAACTAGCCTGCGTTGGTGTCAAATCTTGACGATTTGGTGAAAAAGGTGAAACCATCAACGCTGCTTGTTTCTTTTCTCGGCTTGTGGTTTACGCTGTCAGGCGCAGTAAATGCGCCCTCATGATTGACAGGGCCAGGACCACAAACTTTAAGTTTTTATTGCAGCCCTCAAAAGTGTGTAAAACGGGTGATAGGTTTATTTTTCTTGTAGAATTCCAAATACCAACGATGAAAAATTCCCACACCGTCTGCTTAGACCGCATTCAGTATGCGGTTCCAACTCTCATTGACCCAATTTCGACGATGCGTATCTGTCAGACTCCATTACCTTGCAACTGCGTTTTCAGAAGCTGTGGAGATTCTTTGGTTGATAAGGCTTATTCACCACGGCAAAGTAATTATTAATCATTAGCAGACTAAGAAAGAAACCTGGCAGCATTAAGGCATGTATTTATAGGC